ACGGATGAAGAACCCATTCTGTAATGGGCACCGACAGAGGAAAACACTGGAAAGGTCGGGGAGCCTACAGACTAAGAGGCAATGGGGGATGCAGAGGCAGGAACGGAGGAACACAGAGTCAGCGTGGTGTTTATCTAGAGAATGAACCAAGGAGCAAAGGAGCCTGGCGACGCGCTGAGCTGGGTGACAAACAGTGCTGAAGGACAGATGGCAAGCGGAGATGGGGAAAGACTGAAAAAGGCATAGCCTAAGGACAAAAAGCCCTCATCTGAGGGAGCAGAGGGGCAGCTCGTTCAAGGGTCTGTAAATGTGGAAGAGCTGAGACTACAGTACCAGATACCGGGGGGCGAGGGGCGAGGCAGAGCGCCCGCAGGAGCGGTGGCGCGGGTAAAGCCCCGTGCTCCGAGCCCACGCAGCGCTCTGCAGTGGCCGGGCCACGGTGGCTCCACAGCAGGCAGGATGCAGCAGAGATCAGGCGTGAGCTGACAGCAAGACATTTTTAGTTTTAGCTGTGCCGATGGAGTAAGCGAAGCGGGGCAGGAAGTTGGAGTGTACAGGTGTTAGAGAGAGAAACAAGATGATCTGGAGAGCGTGCTAATGCAGCGGTTTAGAAAAAACAGCAACAAGGAGATCACAAGCAACGGAGCAGCACTGCACACAGCTGGCCCCACAGAAAACAACACACCAAGCAGTGCTGCCAAATGACTTGTACAGTAAAAGGAAGAGCAACTTTTCTTTCTCCATTTAAAAATCTTATAATATTCTTTTCTTATTGATCAGAGTTAGGTTAGATGAGGTGCAACATCCTTTCAGGAAACTACATTTCCTGCTTTCAAGGGATGTATTTGAAGAAGCTGGGTTTCAGCCTGTCCGATGCATGTTATACCTCTGCAGAGAAATGGTCTCTTGTTTATGTACCACCCACTGCCACACTGCTCCAGCAGTACCAGGGCCTGACAGAACAAATCAAGGCCATACTTATTAGCTGCAGCTGCCTCAGAAATCCTGGTCATGTCCCAAGGAAGACAGATCAACCTCAACCTCACAGGCTCTCCTGCATCTTGAGCTACAGAAGCGAGGATTATTTAAACAAGATCCATAGAAGCGAAATCTGAAAGCTGTGATGAATTATTTTTATCAAACAAGTCCTACTAAGAGTCACTTAAGTGTGTTTGAAAAACTTCTCTCAATTAATACAACATCATTTCTGCTGTGTTTTTTTTTTTTTTTTAAAAAAAAGAGGGCACTTAAAAATACAAGCTTCAGGAAGCAGAAGGTGAGAGTGCTCTGTGTGGCAGCCAGAATGAAAGAAACACGTGAAGCCTGCTGACAGCTGCCCTGTGAACGCTGTCCTCAAGCTGTGATGCCTGCCTCGGTCGTGTAAGCTATCACGTGGCAGTTGAGGACAGAATAAGGAATAAATTTGCATTTTTGCTTCTACCAAAGGAACTTGTGACAAAAATAAGCAACCTTTACTGTAACATTTCAGACAAGTGCCCTATGATACACACAACCTCCCAACTTCAAACTATCCCTGTGCATCCTTGGATATCACCACTGACGTTCTACTAAACTTGACACAGCATGTTTCAAGAGCAAAGATGCACAAAGTTGGCTTTCATCCCCCGACCACCCTACCTGTCCCTCAGACTCATGCCAGCTAACGGCAGGCTGCAGCACATGCTGCCCTGAACGGCTCTCTGAGCAATTCTCAAACGCCATTGTGGACAGGGAGCAGAGGGAGCTGGAGGAGAGATCCTCCCGCCCTGTTCCGGAGGCTGCTGGCCTGAGGCTCTGCTGGTTTTCCTTCCCTTCCCCACAGCTGAATAGAGGCTACGACTGGAAGCGCTTATCCCACAGCTAAACAGCCTCGTGCTCGGTGCAGGACGAGACCGCAGAGAAGCTGGCAGCGTTAAACAGCCGTTGTCTGTGGGCAGGTGGCTGTCCTGCAGAAAAATAGGTTAGGTGAAAGACTCAATGAAAACAGGTTTAGCCAAGAGATATTTTAAGTCCCCGGAGAACAGAGGAAAGGCATTATGCAGGATAACACTGTAAGCAGCACTGACTAGTACAGGAACCTGCCCTCCATCGAACTTCCAACTATCCCACGGTTCTTCCACCAGAGCTCACACCACCCCTCACCCTTCTCTTTGGTAGGATGGATTGCTCAGCCTAGTGTAAATCCTTTCCCTGTCTTCATGGGCTTTCTGATGTCTCCTTGAGTTTTCATCACTCTACATCAATTGATGATGCAAGAATAATAACCAGCAGGCTGCGGGTGAAAGTCAGCTCCCACTTACGCTGGCGCAAGGGACGGGGCACAAGCAGGACCAGCTTAAACCATCCACGGCAATACCACTGCAGTCACCAAGCATCATTAGTTACTCTGTCACCTGAGAATTTGGAGTAATTAATAGTATTTTTGCCTTTTCATTACTTAGTTATTAGTTTATTTATCACCTAATATTTTTACAGTTCAATATAGTTTATTAACAATGTTAATAGTTTGTGTTACATCTTGGATTAAACAAACACAAGGCTAAAAAATCTTGATGCTACAAAGTCTAACCAGAACCTCATTACAATAAATAATGCCCTCTCTCTCAGTTACAAAAGCCATTGTTTATCCCTTTTTAATCTATGGAAGAATCATTCTAGTTTCTTAGTAAAAATGTGGTACTGACTCAACAAACAAGATGCTGTAGTAAGCCAAACAGCCATTTTAGTGCACAACACTGCAGAACCACAACCATTGCCAAATAAAACTGTAGTCTAAGTAAGTGAGAGCTGACAGATGCTATTTATCCCCCTAGTAATTCTTCTGTTGACACTATTTTATATATAATTAATTTTATATTATATAAATTATTATAATATTATTATAATGATTATTATACTATATAAACCATTATTAATCTAAACCTTTATTGACTTACTTTATTATGCCTGGAATTGATGACAAACTAACACGCCTACTATCATGTGTTAACCTATTAAGCATGCATTCATTATTTTTGATATTACAAGAATTTAGGAGATTATTTTTTTTTTTTTTTAAGCTTTAACTATTCCAAATCTCTTCTCAGGTTCTGCAAGTACCAGGACCAACTCTCTCCATGAATTAAAAATCAAGTGAAAATACATCAAGCCAGACACAAGTCTCTACTATTAAATGCTGGAAAGCAACCCCTAAAGTTGATACCCACACAAAACAACTGTCACAATATCCACAGGTTTGCTCAGCTTAGAAAAATGAGCGTATGCTTGTGTAAACTAACCAGTTAGCAGTTCTAATTTTTAGCACTGCCAGATTTCCCAAGTAGGCGGACACTGCACTTGCCAGCAGAGGTCAAGCCTCAGGTGTTGCAGGTTGCTGAGCACATCCCCTCTCAGAGGCCAGAGAAATCCCAGGCCTCCAGCTCCCACACGCTGGTGACCTCAGGTCAGTAACAACCCCTCAGCTCCACAGGTGAATAGAACAGCACCTGGTGAGGATTATTTTTCTATTCACCTTCAGAGGGTGACCTGACAGATTTCTTCCCTTCCCAAACTCCTCTCAGGAGTTTCCAGGGAAGTCAGAATGGTTGCTTCTTCCTAGGAGACACTAATTGACTTGAAAAAAATAGCTTTTAAGTCACATATTTAAAGGAATAAACCTGTTTATTCCAGTAGTTTCACCAGTAAGTCTAAAAATGGGGATGGGGAGCAGAAAGAGCACACTTGGCATCCAGGTCTGTAGTGTTGTTCTCACACCCTGGAGGAAACAAGTCAGCCCAGAAACACAATGCCTTAACATACCATCTTAAACAAATTTGGATTAAAAGCATGGAACCAGGCTAGCTACAACCCAAACCTCAAAAATAGCAGAACAATTCCAGTTGTCACTCAAACATACGTTAAAGGCAGCTCCAGTTCTATCAGCCTTTGTAAATTCCCTTTGTATTTTGGAACAGTAAACAGATTTTATATACACGTACACAATCTCATACAAACCAGACTAAAGCCCCCCCCCCCCCCCATCCTGAACGCTGCCCTGAGCATCACAGCTTCCGGGGTGAAGAGGTACGGACACAAAGGCCCCACAGGTCATGTCAGAATCAGCAAAATATAAAAATCTATGTGAGTGGCTCCTAGTGAGAAATGTATGAGGCAATTCAGCAGCAAGTGAGGAGCTGTAGAGAAAACCACGCTCTTGTGCAGCGGGACAGCGAAACGCCGAGCTAGCGGGGTGAGAAATGGAAAGAATGGAGTTTCCTGAAAGCGCAGAGCCGCTTTCTCTACTTACCTGCCTTCGAAACCTCCCAGCCGCGCCCCCGCCCAGCCTTGGCGGCCTCGGAGACGCCCACGCGGGACCGAAACCTAGAAAAGGGGCGCCCAGGGTGTACCTCCCGCTCACCCCCTCCCTGCAAGAGGCTTTTCCCCGCGGAGGGCGGCCGCGCGGGCAGCACTCACTGTCCTGGAAGCCGGATCCCTGGTGCACGCCCTGCAGCAGCGTCAGGATCTCCCGGGCCGTCTGCTCCAGCGCCTGCACCACCTTCCGGATCTCCTGCGGACACAGGCCGCCGTCAGGCCGTCCCCCGCGGCCCCCGGCCCCCCGCCCAGCCCCGCACCCACCTCCCGGATGTCCTGGTCGGCGGTGAGGACGCCCTGCAGCGCGATGAACATGTCGCTCACGGACATGGCGCCCGCCGCCGCCTCCCGCCCCGGGCCCTCCTGCGCCGCCGGCGCGGGGGCTGCCCCGCGCAGTGCCTGACCGCGCCGCGCCGGGCTGGGCTGCCCCGCGCCGTGCCTGAACGGCCGGAGAAGCCGGGAGGGGGCTGCGCGCGCGGGAGGGTGCCCGTGCCCGTGTCTCAGGGCCCCCCCCCCGGTGCGGCGGGGCCCCGCTGCCTGGTGACGGTGCCGCGTTGCTACGCGACGCCGCGCGGGTCCGCTGGGCAGCGCCTGCGCCTGCGCGGCGCCGCGTGCCGTGCGTGAGCGGGGAGGGGGGGGTGTGACGCGTTTCCGGCGGCGGGAGCAGCATGGCGGCGGTGGCGGAGGAAGGGCAGGCGGTGACCGTGAGCGCGGCCGCGCTGCCGCTCCTGGCCTTGGAGCCGCGGCTGCAGCGCGAGTTCCAGCAGAAGGTGCAGCGGGTCCGCAGCAAGCGGGCGGCCGAGGTGAGCGGGGCCCCGGCGCGGCGTGTGGCGTGGAGGCGCGTGGCGTGGCGTGGCGTGGCGTGGCGTGACGCGGCTGCCTTGTGCCCCCACAGGAGGAGCTGAGGCCGGGCGTGGTGTACGTGGGGCACCTCCCGCGGGGGCTGTGCGAGCCGCAGATCAGCGCGTATTTCCAGCAGTTCGGGACGGTGAGGCGGCTGCGGCTGTCGAGGAGCAGGAAGGTAAAGCCCGGCCGCCCGCCTGCGCCCGGCAGTATCACGAGTGGGAAGAGTGCGTGCGTGGGGGAGGGGTGGGGGACACCGTGCGTAACGGCTTGTCCGAAAAATAATATTCGCGCAGAGAATAGGGGATCGGGCTGGAGGAGCTGTGCAGCCGTGGGTGGGTTCCCGGGGGGAGGGAGGGGGAAGCACTTGTGGGCACCAGTAACGGGGCTGCTGCGGGAAGCGCTGCCGGGCCAGGTTACCCGGTGGAACGCGAAATGTCGTGGAAGAGGTTTAGCTTCGCCTATTTTCTTGCTTTGTGCTCGGTAAATTTAATTTCTGGTGTCTGGATTTACCATCACGCTATGACACTGCTGCACTCTCTTGGTAACGGCAGCAATACAGGGGAGCTTTTTTAACAAAACAGGTGCTTTGTGAGCAGTTTGTTTCACGTGCAAATATATAGTTACAAATAACATCTCACTAATTTAGACTGAATCTGGTGCTTTCCATGATTTCACAGAACTTTAGGAAATTCCTTACCTTTAGTTGAGAATGGGATATGACTGTGGAAGAATTAAATAATTTTATTTTAGCTATTTAAAGCGTAATTTCAGATTTCTTTCTGCTGTTGCCTGCAGACTGGAGGTAGCAAAGGCTATGCTTTTATTGAGTTTGAGTCTGATGACGTGGCGAAGATTGTTGCAGACACAATGAACAACTACCTGTTTTCTGAAAGACTGCTGAAATGTGAGTAGAAGCTGAAATGTAAGTCTTCTAACATGCAAAGGAAATTCACAGTTATTTCTATTATTTTTTTGGGACTCTTTGGAGAATCTTGGTGGGGGTTTTTTCATTAAGTTTTGTCTCACAAGGATTATTCTGTGAGGCTGAGCTTTTCCTGCTTTTTTTTGAAATGTAAAGAACATCCCCAGCACCCTTTTGTTCACTACTACTTTTTTTTTTCTCCTTTAGGCTGATAATGCTTCTTGTGAAATCATGTGACATGAAATCTCAGGGAGCAGTGGGTTTTGCTGGGGAGTTTCTTTGTCATTTATAGCTGTTGCAGGTGCTGTCTGTGCAGTTAGACATAAGGGGGTTTTTTGATAAAAAGATTAATGAAACTAACAAGTTTCTCAGACATGGTGATAGCAACACTTGCTTTGTACAGGGCTGTGAGCTATACATGCATCAACTTTTGAAAAACAAGTTTTTCTGGGTGAAACCGAAAAAGTCTTCATCCATCCATCATCAGTTCTCTTACTGAGGAGTATTTTGTTACTTTCCATTTTCTCTGTTCATAAAATGCTGTACTAATGCTCTGCTGAAGCAGTGGATAACGTTATAGTGAGAGCTGCATAGCGTTACGTGAGTCCATTCGGTGTGAAGAGTAGCTCTGCTGCAACTTAATGTCACGTGTTGTTTCTGATACAGGTCAGTTCATGTCTCCTGAACGGGTCCACGAAAACCTCTTCAAAAACAGTAATAGAATGTTTCTGAAGCCTTCTCAGCCAGCGGTCAGGCGGTACAATAAGATCCGTTCACTCGTTCAGAAGGCGAAGATGACCAAGCGGCTGCTGCGGAAGGAGAGACTTTTACGGAAGAGGCTGGCTGAGAAGGGGCTCGATTATGACTTCCCAGGATTTGTAAGTCTGGCACCGTTTCGATAAGCGTTTTATGCAAAACCTGTTTCTAAATCCAGGAAAATCATGCGTTTTGTGGGGAACTGGTAAAAGATCTGGAGCACCAGGGAGACTGTCTTACATTGAGGACTGTATAGGAGCTCCTGGAAATTAGTGTGGTGCTGTTGCTGGGCTGTTTTTATGTCCATGGAGGCTTATTTTCAGAGAATTAAATAAGTAACAGCAAAGGGAAAACGTTTTCTTCTGTTCGTATAAACAGGTGGATATTCTGTGGTTTTAGTATTTGTTTGCAGATCACAGAAGAGTGTCAGGGGCTTTTCCCAAGCCCTGTGGGGAAGCTTTGGCAGGGTGGGTATTTGAAGGCAAGCCCTAAGACTAGAGCTTCCATCCACAGGCCCTGCCTGTGCTAGCCAAGCCTATTGCTCATTTGCAGTGTTTGGGTGAAGTACTTGAATTTTAAGCAATGCTATTTAACATGGTATTTTTTTTAAAATGCATCGTATCAGCTTTTCTTACGTTGTTTCGGGTATTTTTGTTCAATCCAGATCACCTCTGTGGCACTGTAAGTCATTTTATTAATTTAAACCTAATTGCTGTAGCAAAGATTTTGTAACTACGAAGCAAAGAAATCTGTAGACTGTTAAGTGACTGTCGTCATGCAAGGACGTTTGTAGTGATCCACCTGATCTGTGTTGCTTCCCAGGCTGCACAGGAGCTTTCCATAAAGAGAAACAAAGTTAAAAAATCCAAGAAGTCAAAACTGAATGTTTCTTTGAGCAGCCAGGTAAGAGCAAACAGTCCTGGTAGTGCCCAACACCACACTCCACAATTCACCTTGAGTCAGACATTTCACGTCTGCAACTCTTTTTTTCATATTCATTTCAACACCTGAAAACCTTGACATTGTTCGCTTGAGAGATTTTTGTGCCAAAAGTAGCTTCTTTGAGATGGCCTGACACTTCTGAACTGGGGGAGGGTGGCTGGATCCTCTATTTTCTTTCTCCTGTGGGAGTATTTAGCAGCACAGGCTTCTGCTCAGCACTTTGTAGCCAGCAGTGCTTGTCCCGAGGTACATCCAGGCAGCGATGTGTCTGCTGTCAGCCTCTGCTGTTCGCTAACATGAGGCAGGAGAAATGCAGGGTGCTGGGGACAGTCACCCACACACCACCTACGTCTGTGCTTCAAACTGATATGAAATGATCTCCTTGCTGGCATCCTTCTCTTGGTCTGTGCTACAGTGTGATACCAGCCAGTTTTGACAAAAAGGAAGGTGAATCATTAATACAGTCTAGAGCTGCCTGTCCCCATTTACATACTATACTGTCCCTCTTCCCTTGGGCTCTCCAGGCATGATATTCCAATATTTTGGAAAGTAATGCTAGCTAAAACTAGCAGTAGGATGAAAGTAAGGCTCAGGTTGTCAGGACTGAGATTTGGGGCACCGACACACTGAAAAGTCTGTTGGGTATTAACATTTCTGTTTTGTTTCATTACTGGTGTGAGCTGGTGTTTTTTGTTTTGTTTTTTTTTTTTTTTTTTTAATATTACTGGGTTTACTTGTGGTAACAGGGACAGGGTTGGTTGTGAGGAAGACAGGATAACTCATACATTCAGTCAACTGAGTTCTGAAAACTTAAGAGATAATGAAGCTGGGATGTTTCAGCTCTGCTGTGGGCTTGAATATGGCATTTCTGTATGCCAGTCTCAAATACGTATTTTCTTTCCCTTGATTCTTTTCCTCTTGGCTTTCTTAGCACTTTGAGTCAGGAAATAAGTTTAGAAAGCAAATGTGCACAATGACATGTTAGAAAATGTGAATTAATTTACATTTGCTTTTCACATATACTTTTTTGAAGATGACACTTTTGTCTGAAGAAATACTGTCTACAAAAATAGCTAGATAGTAAAAAAATGCAATATTTCCTAACATGTAAAAGTTCTGAAGGAGATCTGGACTGAGGTGCCTTGTGGTACCACAGAGGCAGTGACAGCTTTTCTCTGGAAGATGCTTTGCAATGAATTGTGTTTTTCTGATCTCTTCAGGATCCTACTCCAGTCTGTACTCCCACAGTGCTCGAGCGCCGGAAAGCTGCCCAGGTGGATGATGACGCAGAGGACAAAGAAGTAACTCTAAGATTTCCCCCTGCCAGTGTTAAGAATGCTGTGCAGAGACCAAAGAAGCAGCCAAGAAAAAGACCAAATGTGAAGAAACAGAAATAGACTTAAAATTTTGATGGCTGTAGCCATGTTTTTCCTCAACTCAAAAACTGGTGAGGTGGAGCTTCTAGTGGTTCTGCTGCCCTGGCTCGGTTTGTCTTGGCTAGACTGTTGCAGTCTTTCCTAGGCAAGGAATCTATTCACAAATCCTCCCCCTTCTGTTTAGCCATTGGGGACCTATGGTCTTCCCTGGCTTTTGAGGATATTCTCAACTTGGTGCTTGTAAGTGCCTGTGCTGTGACATGCCTGCAGCCATGCCAGAAGCTTCAGTTAATTCTGTATCTTGTCTCTAGCACTCACTGTTTTGAAAGAAAATGTGAGGCTGTCCATTCAAAACTTACTGATGCGGGCTGTATCTTACATTTATAATTAATGACTGGCTATATAAAAAAAATAACCATTTTTCAACTCTGTTGGCTCTTGGTAGTGGTTCTTGGGTTTAACTGGATGTCTGTGTTTCATATGAGTTCTCGCAGAGTTACACAAACAGAGGGTGAGGGATTTATTCCCCAGGGAAGACATTCCTTGTATTTTACCTCCTGTTTCTAGTCAGTCCCATACTGTCCTGGGCGGAGGCAGAATACCACACTGCCTGAGCCGAGCCAGTGCCTGTCAACTCTGCTTTCAGCAGTGCTTGGGAAATCCAGCCTTTGACAGGATGTGGAGCGGATCCAGAGGACTTGGAAAGGACTGGGATTAGGAAGGTGGTGAGAAGAGAGAGAGGAAGATGGCTGAAGTCACTTGAGGTCAAGAATCCCATTCCTTTACCTGTGCAGGAAAAGGATCTGTGTTTGAGAGTGTACCCTACTGTGGAGGCTGTAGGGTGACTGTCCTGTTGGCTGGTGGCTTAGCCCGAGTCACAGCTACGCTTCATCCCTCACGCACTTCTGCAAAGGGCATTTCATGCTGCAGAAGTACCCGGTGTGCACGTACCGATGTACTGATTTACCTCTGGGCTGGCCAGGCAAAGGTAATGTGCTGATTCTCTGGGGTTTTGGGTGCCATAGCTGTGCTGCTGCCTGGTTCAGAAAATGTTCAAGGACATGCAAAGTGTGGCTGCCTTTAGGAGGACTTCCTGCTGAACTTTGGAGAGGAGCAAATGGTGACAACTAGCTCATGTACGGCTGTTCTCGGAGTAGGGAAGGCTCTTTGAGAAGATGCATCAGTAATCAGAGCAGTCAGGGTTGTATTAGGAGTTGTTGTCTCTCAGGCCCTGCAGCATCTTGTCATTGTGTTTTAGTTTCACTGCCTGCATGAAACAAGGATGTCTTCTGCTTCAGGGGATGATAAACACATCACAGTATTGTAATAAGCTTCTGGGTGGGCGAACCAGCAATGGGACGTCAGGGTTTTGTCACCAGTAGTACGAGTTCAGAGAACCAAGTGTAGCTTTTTATTGTGCCTCAGGATTTATTCTTGTTCCAATGTAACCAGTCATAGCTGACTGCAGATACCCTGTCCAGGTTGAAGATGCAGTTTGACTGTACAATAAGAATTTGGATTTTATTGCAAATCTGAGACCTGCAGAAATTCCAGTTTGGATTTTGTGGCATGTACTTAGCCTTGATCTTTTATTGTCAGATGAAACACTCTCTACTGCTGTTGGCTGTAGGTCAGGCTTGGCAGAAGATTTCAGAGGAAAGCCCAGGTGATAATAACTGGCTGCTCAGGTAGGTGGCTAGCTCTCATTCCTGGGCTATTTTAAGACTCAGACTCCTGGCAGAGGAGAAGAAATCTGAACCATTGGCCCGATTAATTCTGTCTTATCTGGCTTGATCACTTGAATAATCATGTGATTATAATGGCATTCTCTCAGTGACTCAAACGAGATGATTCTCTTGTCGCCCTAAACTGTTGGGGAAGGCACTTGGATGAGTGTGTCTTTATGTCAAATACTGGTCATCGTCGGCATGCTAGGGAAATCTGTTGACCAGCCCCGTGGTCAGTCCTTACCTGGTGGTAGCAGTGTAGCTGTGTACATCTTCGAGCTTCCTTCTTTGTGTGTTGTTTGATGTGAAACAAGCAGTGTTTACACCTCAAACCTGTGGAAGAGGTTTGAGATAAACATGATCAGAGTATTTGGCAGAAATTGCTTATCTGCTAGGAACTGACATGCGGCTCTGAAAAAACTTTTCTGCCTCAACTTCATACAGCAGAAGAGAAGCAAAATGCATCTGCCCAGAATGGACAGTTTTCTTTTAACATCCATATCCCTAACTGTGTGTTGTGCCAGTGAAGATGGCTGTTGGCTCAAGATGAACTGGAAGTGTGGCTGCGCTTCCTCCTGTCTGGAGCTGCGTCTCGGGTGCAGTCTGACACAGGGGGGCAGCACGCTTCAGTTGTGTGGACACATGCTGCCCTCTCTGACTGCAGCACCAGGTTTCCCAGGAAATGACCTCCCAGATTTATAAAGAAGCCTCTCTAGCCCAGGCAGTTTGGCGTGACTGGCTGCGTTGGTGTGACTAATGCATCTCTTAACACGATTTAAGAATACGGGAGAAACCTGGTATGGATCTTAATCAAATATGCCCGTTCTTTGGTGCTGCCACAAATACTCCTTCCAAGGCTGTTGAGTTACAGCTGCTCTTAAGAAAACTTAGTTTGTCTAGAGTAACCTATCCAGTGCAGTTCCACGTTCACTGAAGCCTAAGTAGCTCCCTACCTGTTATTCCCATTCCAACCCCTTGGCCTGTGTTTTGAAGTTCTGGAGTTGCTTTCTTCCTACTCTGCTTCTGCTACCGTGTTGCTCTCTGTGCCTGCTGTTCTGCCCCTTCCTGGAAGCCCGTGTCTGCTTGCTGCTTTCTTCCATGTTGGACTCTCTGACTTCTTTTCATGCTGCTTGCTGTGCCTGGGCTAACCTGTCGAGCTACGTGAGCTTCCAGGGATTTAGGCTGCTGCAGATCTCTTGAAGAGGTTTGTGCCTTTATGCTTGCACCCTGGTTGCTGCTCACTCTCCACATTCACATGTCAGTGTGAGCCCTGATGAGAAGACATTCAAGAAAGCTGTGCTTACAATAAGCTTTGCTTCCTGCTGTAATTTTCCTTTCCCTTCCTTTTGTTTATTAGTCTTCCTTCAATTGAGAGCAGCTCAGATGGCAAATCTGAAAAGCAAGAAAACAAAATTCTGTGCTGTTTGAATAAAGCACAACAATATCCAGGCTGCAGCAAGGCACTCTCAGCAGAAGAGTAGCTTTTCTTGGTGATAGTTTCTGTTTTTAGTCTGCTTGTGTTATTAATATACTGCTGTCCTGGGAGATGTACATAAGCAGAAATTCGGACACCTGATATTTGCCAAACATAGTTTCCGTAGCAAGTGGACAGACATGCTGTGTCATCAGTTATGCCTCAGTCCTTGCACTGATTTTTCTTTCTCGGCTCTCCAGTCATTTGTTCATTCATCATGGACAAACACAAACCCCCTGGCCACTGATTTTTAGGCCAGGATGTGAGGTTTTTTTTTTTTTTACTGGGATGCTAGGAGTGTTTGGGCTTTGGTTTCAAGGCATAACTTGCAAGCACTCTGCCTTTCTGTAATGAATGACTTTGTGGAGCAATTTACTGAACACCTATGTATGTAGTACTGTTTTCAAGCTCAGACAATGCTTAGTGCTGGCAAAGTCTCCTAATTTGCTCTCGTTTATTCAGATTTCTTTGTTTTGCAGGAAGGAGAGCTGGGCTTGGGTGCACACAGCATTTCCCAGTGTGTGAAGCACTGGAAGTAGAAGAGGAATGGGGGGCAGGGAGAGAAGCAGAATTGGATACAAAATAGAGGGGAGGAATGATGAAGCTAATGCTCATCTCTAGAGAAAAAGGTGTTGGTGAATTTGGCAATGTTAGACCGCCTGAAATTAAAGAAGCGGTTTGATGTTTTTCTTACTTGTTTTGTCTGTTAGATGTGCTGTGGGATGCCCAGGCTGCAGTGTGTTGGGGCTGTGCTGCAAACCAGGGTCGGGTCCAAGTGATAGTGCTTGCTTATGAGCCCGAGTGAAGTAGGAGAGCAGGCTGGGCAAGGGACACTTGCTCCTGGCAGTAACAAGCCTGTTTTCTTGCATACCTGGCTTTTGAAATGGCTGCAGCCCCAAGGAACAAGGCTAAAACCTATCTGCAGAGAGCTCGTGGTGCAAGGAAGGATTTGTGCATGGCTCTGAGGGGTGGCATCCTCTCTTCTCCAAGGAAAGCACCGGTGAGGCAGAGGGTAGCTCTAGCAAATTCCTCCTCTCCCAGCTTTCCCTTCAGAGTGCTGGGGTGTTTGGTTCTCACTTTGCCTGTGTGATGCAGCCGGCTCGGGTGGGGCTGTGTTGTGTGAGGTGCTGTGCACATCCCTGCCCTGGGCAGGGTGCTGCAGGTGAAAGTCGGGACAGCAGGTACCAGGAGTATGGTGGATGTGATCTCCATCAGGCATTTTCCAGCAATACCCGAGAGTCCTGTTCTTAGACCAGACTCCTTCATTGTCCAAGATGCTGTTCAAACACATTCTGTTTTCCGGAATTTACAATAACCCACAAAGCGTTGAAACATCCAACTCCAGGCAGCAATAACCAGCACCTTCTTGGCCAGGGATACACGGGAGATGGTGGGGAGGGCTGTTCTGTGCATCAGGCTGCTGCCTAGCACCGCTAATCCAGGCACATCCCTCCCTGCCCAAGGCCAGCAGCTGTTGGAGCAAGTTGAGGAAATGGTTAACTGCATGAGTGAGAACTGCTGAAGTGAAACATTTTCTCCTATGCAGGGTGCAGCAAGGCCACTCATCGCTTCTCCCACCCAGCATTAATTAAGCATACGGCAGGGACGGAGGTGCTGGGCGTCCTGGGTTGCTTGGACTAGTTATGCACCTGAGTGTCTGTGGCCAGTAACTATATGGACCTCCTGTGCTGGGGAAAGATAAGCTACAGAGAAGCTCCTACACAACTCTGGTCTCCCATCAGGGAAGAAAATGCTGGTTTATAATTTTCTTCAAATGTGTTGAAGAGAGCCAGCAGGATTGTGAGGATGAATGCTGCAGGACTTTGAGACAGCAAGATGGGTGTCTGCAGTGAGCTGCGGGCACTGGGGTCACCTCCTCTCTGTGGCTGCACATTCAACCTGGGACTTGACCCATCACATGATGGGTCTGGCCTCAAAATGTTTTAAAGAAAAGGGAGGAAAAAACCAAATAAAACTGTTTCTTAGGATAGTGGTTCTGGAAAGGCTTGGGTTTTTTCAGTGCACTTTTCCAGTGCTGACTGTGAGGAGGGATTGGTGAGCTGGTACAGACCTGGAAATCGGGCTGCTTGCTCGGCAGTGTGGCATTGCTGCCAGTTTCCCACAAGTGCTCGCACAAACCCCCAGCTTGCATGTGTTTTGGTTTCTTTAAAACGAGCAGGGAAGTAGAGTTACTTTTGCCACTGTGGCTTTCAGAGACTGAAAGTGTTGCGGCCGTTTGGAGAGTGAAGGCAGTACTTTGCCTGTCTGGCTTGCTGGGTGCACTCGGAGTTACTTTCTCACCACCGTACCCTGCAGAGCAGGGGTCTGTCTGTGCCTGTTGTGCAGCAGCAGTACAGCTGCTTTGTCACCTGCTGCATTTTTATTTCTGTTGATGTTGGAGCTGGAAGGGATCCGGTATGACTTTCAGGTGCTGGGCTGCGTTTGCATGTCTGCGTGTTAGAAGGGCTGGGTTCATCTACCCAGAAGCCATGGGCAGAGGAAATGTGAGGCAAATCTGTAAGGCTTTTCCCTCAGCTGTCCCACACAAAGACATGATGTTTGTGGCTTATTAGCTGGGTAGTGCTTAAAGTGCATTCTGTTGAATTGTATCCTGAAACACAAACTCCAGGTTTGGAGTGGCTGAAGCTTTGAGGCTGGGCTGGCAGGAGCTTTGCAAGTGCAAAGGAGTTGTTTTGGAGGCAGTATGGATTCTCCTAAGGCAAACCTGTCCGTTGGTGTAATGTCAAGGCAGCCACATCAGAAGAATCACAGCCCAAGTTTTTATCTTGAGAACTACTAGCTCAGCTTTTTTTCCCCATCAGCTCATCATTTTACAAGATGAAATCCTGCCATGTTAATATGTAGTATAGATTCAGTCAGTCGGTTTTTGAGAATCATTTGGAGTCGGTGATTTGGACAACAGTTTTGGGTGGGCTGCCAGTATATGTTTGCTGTGTTGCTGTTCAATGTCAGGCCTCCCGTTGCATTTTGTAAGAGCTTCCATTAATTTCAGTAGAAATCTGCATTTGGGGTGAAGGGTGACCTAATCTTTAAAAAGGATCTTAATCCACTTAGCCTGTCTTGCAAAGCTCAGCATTTTTTTCTTGTCAGGAGCAGACTGCATTCCTAACCTTGATGTGTCACTTTCCACTTGGCTTAATATTTGGGTGAGGATAAAAAGGAAACGTTTTTCAAAGATTAAAAGAATTCATGCTGCTAAGGTATGTGCATATATGATATGCAAGTATAATAAAAAAAAAAGTGAGCATAATTCTAAGTGTTTGGAAAAAGGATAAAACAATACAGATAATTATATAAAATAACAGCAGATGACTATAGAAAACAAGCACAGGAAGAGGTAAATCCATTTGAAAGAGTGTAAATGGGGAATTATGAGGGAAGAGGAAATGGGACTGAAATGTTTTTTAATGTAAATTTAAGCACAAGACAGAAATGGAACTCCTGATAGCTTGACCTGTAAATGTCTCTTCCCAGAGACCTGGGGGCAGCCAGGAAAGATATGGTCTCTGATGCAAATACAAGACCTAATGCCTGTGCCTTTTTAAGGTTAGAGATCTTCTGGGCTACTGCATTAAATCTAGCTTGGGTCAGAAAGGTTGGAGAGCTCTTGCCAGTAGCCCGTGTTCAGTTTCCGGGGGGGGGGGGGGGGGGGCGGGGTTTCAGTGCAGCCTTTTGTCACAAAACAAAGAATGCCACAATTAACACTAATTGGTACCTTCCTTGATGTTTTGACCAGGGAGAATGAACTGCCTCCCCGGAGGCAGGCACTCCAGGTCAGAGGAAGAGGCCTGTGGGGATGTTGCATGGCTCACAGGACCTTCATGCCAAGGGGAAATCTTGAATCAAACCAAATTCACACTGCATGAGGATTACTTGCTTGGTGGTGTTTCTCCCTGGGTGGCCAAATTTCTGCAAGGAGTGAACACACGCAGATTTGCCCATGTGCACATGATGAGCCTTGAAGCCATTTGCTCACTTCCCTTTAATTAAAACCTTCTGCTTTTGCATTTTCTTTTCTGTTTGGTGACCGAAGCGAAGCTTCATGTGCCTTCACGTGGGAGTTAAGTGGGTCAGCGGGCTGCTTTGTTTGTGACAGCTCTTACGTGGAAAAAGCCCGATGCAAAATGCTGAGGCTTGGCAGGAAAGTGCCAATTAAAGATAGCAGTGCAGGAGCATATTGTCTGAGCTGAAAGTGCTCGAATCTGGGGCTGTGACAACTGCCATGTGCAAAGGAAAGAATGAGGAATTATTAAATCTAATGTTGATCTGAAGTTAGTTAGTGCTTTCCCCTATTCAAGTGTTTGTTCTTGCGCACTATGGACAAGGAGTTCGTTCCCTGTTTCACAGGTAAGTGAGGGTAGAAGTGAGTAGTGAGTTCACGCTCTGGCACGGGCTCCCTGTGTGACTCGACAGCACTCAGAAGCTGGGTACTTGGGCTTCACCTCGTGTTGGCCCATGTTATTTATCTTTGTGCCGGCAGCAATCCAGCCTTCTCCTTAGCACTGTGCAAGTCTGCTCAGGTGACGTGTGCAGGAGATGTAAGTGCCAGGAGATGGCAAAGGGAGAGGTGCAGTGTTACACTGCGACAAGGGAAGTTGTTCTCCCCCTTAGCCATGCAAGTAGTCAAGTTGGGGCCCCGCATAGAGGAAATGCGGCTTTCTAATTCTGTATGGCAGTGTGCTTGACTCTAGGGAAGCAGCCCAGGGACAGCCAGGCTTTGATGCTGCTACCTCTGCTGTCATGAGCAACTAAATCATCATGCTGCCATTCATCAGTGAATACATTTCTCCTTGGAGCACTCGGCCATCAGAGTCCTGAGCAGACATTGTGCAAAAGGGAAGGACAGGGGAAGAGCAGGTACTAGGGTGCAGTCAGTGTTTCCACTGAAACAGAGCCTCTCTCCCTCCCAGTCCCTCCCTCTGCTTCCCACTAGTTCTGTTTTATTGATGTGTCTTTGTTTGAAAGAGCAGTGCTGGTAAATGAAAGCTAGACTATCCATGCATTCTGTTATTTCAAAAAAGCTTTCTGGCTTTATTTTGCCTTTCCTTACAGTTTTCTGTGCCCCCACTGCAGATGACCATAAGCTGATCTCCTGTTGCATCTTGCAGATGCACTCTGCTTTGTTTTGCACGTGTACAGGCGCACACCTCCTACTCGTGATGAACCAGACCTTTCCCAACAAGCAGGGAACGGTGTACTTTGCAAGTGGACTGATTAGAGGGAGACGTGCTGCTTCCCTGGGAACAGTATCCTCTCGGGAGACAGATGTTCCTGCCTTTCTGCTGCACTAGTCCTGCCTGTGCTAGAGATACACGTGTGAGATAGGTAAGTAAACGCAGATCTTTCTGAAATGAGAGCATAGTAAGAAGTACCTTTATTTAGGTATGTTATTTATAAGGGTAATGCCAAATGCCTGCTGCTAAACCACTGGTAGTGAAGTTCTTGTGAAGCACTCACTTGTGATGGTAGCAGCTCCTCCTGTTTCCTTCATTTTGAGAGTCCTTTCTGGACCCCTGGATGAATCCCAGAGGACTGGTTAGAAGTAGCACGGTTGGTACCTAACAGTAACACTAGAGAAGCTGAGGTATCCGTGCAGATTGGATTCCATCTGGAAACTTAGATCTGGTTGCCCTCAGGGTATCCTGATGTGCCTTAGTGGTGGGTTTCCATTGAGAACTGTCACAGGCAGTGGCCACACAGGTCTGTCATAGATGGTGCTAGAGGTAATGCAGATTGTTGTTCCTGTGAAAGCTGGTGGACTCTGTAGTAGAATCAAGAGCCTCCTCTGTGCAGAATTAAACAATACTGAGATGCTGTGAGACTCTAAAAGAAGTCTAAAAAGAAAAAAAAGACCACAAAAGAACCGTGTTCTATTAGAGAAAACAGGATGAAGTATGCAATATAGTGTGTGATATAGTGCAATACTGTAGGCAGTAGTGATTAATTTTAAGAAACCTAAAGGGCAAGAATCAGAACAGTGCCTTCACTGCCTACTTTTAAAAAGTTTGAAGAAAACCTGCAGGTCACAATGCATTTCAGTCGACTCTTCCTAATGAAAATGAGGCTTATGTGATCAGTCTGTCTGTCTCCTGCTATTTAGCTGTCCGGCTAGCCCCCTCCTTTTTCCTTTTCAGTATTTTAGGGAGGAGGAAAGAATCTCAAGTTTCATGAGAACTGGAGAAGAGAAATAGTAATTGCCAGCCTCAGGGAAAGGTGGGAGGGAGCTGGGGCATAGTGTGGTTCCTCAGGCAGCAGCCTGTCAGTCGATCTGCATGTGTACAGCCCTGGACTAACCGCACCTCGGACTGCCAGTGTCTCCAAGGGGACTGTCACAGGACACACAGAGGAAGGCAGGGCTGCCGAGGGAGCAGGGCGGATTAGAGGGGCAAAGAGCACAGATCTGTAGGAAACCAGGCATCATGAGTGCTGCTGCTCATGGAACAATTTAGTTATCTTAAAAATACAGGCATAAACTATTCTAAAAGTCTCTGCAGGGAGCCATGGAAATGGTCATGTAATAACAGAAAAAAATTAAAACATTAGAGCTGACTAAATGGCAGAGAAAATTATTTCTGTGCAGAGACTCTACCTGTCTTATAATAAAAATGTGAAGAAAACACATAGAGCAAGACTGTCCACACACTGTTAATTTTACAGTGAGGAAGCTTCTAAGTTTTGCACAGTTGTCACCTGAAGCTTTGCAACAAGGGAAAATAAAAATTATATTTTCTGTGCAAGTTTTATCTATGAGGGGAAGAAAAAGTACTCAAAAACTAAGCCAACTGCATCTCCCAGCATTTCTTTATAAAGCTTTAGGCTGCCCAGCAGTGATCCTAAAATTGCAAGAGGAAAGAATCTATGAAAAAAAGGCCAAACACCCAATTATACCAGAAGGCAGTATTGAGAAATTTCCAAGGTAAATACCTCTTTATTGTAACACTGAAGAGAATGAATTCACAGCAAATATGTGATACAAAATTATTGATTCTTGCTGAAGCTAAATGAAAAATTGCTTATCAGCTAACTTAAAACTTACTTCATCAATTTTTATCTAATTTTCTTACTCAAAATGGAATGTGATGGTATTTTAGGTAGCAGAGAGAGAACTATTTAGAGTCTCCAAGAAAACTTTGCCTGTAGTTCTAACAGTTTCAGCTGAAGCAGGAAGGTCAGTGCTTTATTAATGTACTGACAATCTTACTTTGTCATCAGCTGCTGTTAGGAGACTGCAGAGACAAACGGCTGGAGTCCTGGTTGCAGAACTGCCCATCTGGGGAGGGAGAGTACGGGGGCTGTCCCTCCTCTGAGTGCACATGGGTACTAATGTGGGGACTGGAGAGCCACAGCCATGAACTAGAGCTGTTGTGTCTCTGCCCTGGGTAGTGCTTAGCCAGTTAGGGCTCTTGGGAGATTAGCTACTGCCTGGGGGGTGAGAAGCATGGTAATTTCTAAAACTGGTTTATGATCACCTGCTTTCAGTTTACACCGGGCTGGCATCCTTTTAAGCATCCCAAAACCCCCAACTTTCTCTTGGCAGCTGTGCAGCCTGTTCCACTTTGTACACTCGACCTGTGCCGATTCCTTCACGCAAAGCAGCAGTTACGTATTGCTCTGAAACCTGGTGGTGGAAAAGAAATCATTTAGTATTATTTGGAGGGGGCTTGCCAAAAGCCATTCCTGTGCCAAAATCGTGAGCCATGAAGACCATTATTATTTCAAGAACTTATGACTTAAAAAAAAAATTTCTTCCACATAGTTCTTTGATATGAACTGTTCTAATGGCTCAGACTACGTACCTATCGGAAACCGCAACGTTACACCACCTTATGGAGGTCAACCACTTTCTGCAGAGCAGAGGATGAGAACAACTGGGGGTGTCTGAGGCGAAATGAAAGTTCCCTACAACCAACATGAGAGAAGCAGTCAGAAGCCTAGGGAATACTTTGGTCAAACGCTTGGTAAAGAATCTATGCACAGCGAGTTTTCACCTCGGTTGTATCGTAGCAGTGCTGCAACTCATGCCGTTTGGTGAACTAATTATTTGTTATTAAGTGCAGCTTTTTAACTAAGACTGCGCAAAGCACAGTTTCCCTCATTAGGGGATCACTAAAAGGCGGGGCTGTGCGCTGACACGCTGGTTCAGGCCTCGTTCCGCACCTTGGCCCCTCAGCTCTCCTTGCCCAGCGTCGGGAATCCTCTCAGAGCACTGAAGCTGCTCACACGGTGTGCCCCGCAGCGCTGCTGCGGAGGTAAATCAGCCGGGACGCGGCCGCAACCCGCCCGCCGGCCGCCTCACAGCCCAACGGTCGCCATGGCGACCGAGCCCGCCTCTAACGGCCGCGGCGGGACGGGGTCGCCTGTACGCATGCGCAGTGCTCACGCTGACCTCACCGCCGCCGCGCTTGGGGGCGGGGGGCGCTTCCCCCCCTCACCTACCATAGAGAGATGCGTTTTCTCTAGCCCGCGCCTCACGCTCTATGGTGCATGCTGGAGGGCCGGGTGGGTGTGTACGCGCCCGCCCACCCCCTCGCGCGCATGCGCGCTGCTGGCCCGGGAGCTTTCTAGAGGCGCGGGGCGGCGCCGCGCCGGCGCGGAGGGGCTGCGGGCGGCGCATGCGCGCTGTCTCCCATTCTTCCCGGGGCCGCGGGGCGGGCGCAGCCATGCAGCGCAGCGGGCGCCGCCGCCGGCACTGAGCGCCGCCCGGCCCGGCCCCCGCCGCCGCCTCCCGCCGCGCTCGGACGGGTAACGCCTGCGCCGGCACCGCGCCGGGCGGGGAGGGCGGCGGGGACAGGGAGAAAGCGCGGCCCGGGGAGGGGAGGGGCGGGGGGGCTTTGTGTGGTGACGGTGGGGAGCGCGGCCGTGAGGGGAGCGGGGCGGGGCGGGCAGCGGGGCTGTCCCGCCCGCAGCACCGGGCGGGAGCGCTGTCCCCCGGGTCGCCCAGCGGTGCGGTTTGGTGGAGGAGATGGGGTGTGGGGAGGAGGAGGAGGAGGGCGATCCAGCGGCGTAACGGCCGCCGCGGGAGCCGGGGGGTGCGGGGGCTGGTGGGGCCTAACGGCTGGCGCGGAGGCGCCCCTCGGCCTCCCCGCTCCGCGGGGCTCGGGAGCGGGGACCTAGCGCCGTCAGGGTAGGACGGGGGCCTCCTGCGAAGCTTTCCGTTAGTACCGACGCTTACTCGGTGCGGGGGGGGGGGGGCGGGGGGAGGCGGCGGCGGCGAAGTGCTGCCGTGTTGCGCTCACTCAGCAGTGAGGGCTTATGATAACGTCTCGAGGCTGCTGTGTTTTTAAAACCATCTCGTGGTTTGGGTGGGTTCAGCTCTTGGCCCTTTTGTGCACGTGTCGAGCTTTACTTCATTGATTTCTGTCAAAATTTGTAATGCGGGCTGGGGGAGGAGTGGAAGGTTGTGTCTGTATGCAGAGGTGAATTGACCATTAGGCAAATCCTGCTTAAATGCTTCTGAGAGATGCTGGATCTGAGTAAATAACATGTAGTTGTTTGTCAGTGTCTTTATACATGGCTATGTTTAAGGTATTTTCAGTGTATGTGTCTCCAGCTGTGAGGAAAGGAAAAGCTGCCCACTGCCTGAGAAAGAGGTGGGAAACTGAGGCAGGGTGACAAACTGAAGGTTGTATGGGAAGCCTGTGGTGGAGTAGAGCAGACTTCCCAGGTGTGAGGATTCTGAGCAGTAGATCTCTGACCCCTGCAGACTTGTTTCATAAGTTAGTGTTTAGAAAAGGAGGCAAGAGTTAAGCAAAGCAGCATGTGTCCAGCCGGTGTTGGTAGGGCAGAGATGTAGTCTCCATGCTGGTGCTTGTGTCTTTAGGGCGGATATGTTGGAGTCCATTTTGCTACTGAGTAGCACAGACTGTTTCTCTGCATCTTTTGAGCAGTTGCATCTCTGTCCCGTGCTCCTCTTTATGCCACCTGGGTGCTGTTAAAGACAAACCAAAGTATCGTCGCTTGATACCTGATGACACAAATCTGCCATTTAGATTTACTAATCTTGTTCTCAAACAAGATCTTGCAAAGGCATTAGAAGTGCGTGTGTTTGCTTCTGTGTGGGATTCTGAACTGGATTTAGAAGAGGTTTGCAACTGGAGAGGGGACTGCAGCTGGATATGTTTGAGAACTTCCAGTAGTGGTGAGCTTTCGCTAGAGTGAAGGGCTACACCAAGTGCAGGATGGAACTACAGTACTTCCATATTCGGGGTCTTCCTTATGGCAGCGTAGCTTGCTGTGTGGAACAAGCCTTTGTGCTGCAGTCCTGAGCTTGGCAAAGTCCAGCTTTTGCTTGTTTTCTCTGTTGAACCCTGTCAGTGGGACTGAAG